GGCGGTTTGGGCTTTGACATACACGAAAGGCGCTGGGGACCTGTGCACTGTCCTGCTGACTCCGGTCACGGCCTCCGTGTTAAGGCTTAGCCCATGTTGGTAGGTTCTTCACAGCTTCCTCGGGCCTTCTCCCCCTTCCCTGAGCCCCCACCGGACCACCCAGAGCTGATTCAAACCTGAAGGGAAAGGCGCCATTCTTGGCTGTCAGCATCTTCTTCAGGCTGTCCCCGGAGCTGCAGCAGTGCTGCTGGGCACCGCGCCTGAATTTTCTGCGTCTGTAGCCCCTCCTAGGAAGGACCCAGTGACTGCTGTGAACCAGGTGATCGTAGAATAGTAAAGCTGGAAAAAAAAAAAACAAACAAACAGAAGTCTTAAGAGGCTTGCTGATTCACCTTGAGGCCTTAACGGGGTTCACTAATCCCCTCTCATATGTGATAAATGATTGTCCAGCCTGCTTGTCAAAGTCTCTGCTCCCCAGCCAGCTCAAACAACTTAGTTCAGTGTGCTCTGGTTGTTACTGTTAGAAGGATTTTTCTCTTCCTGAAATGTAGCCTGGGTAAACCTGGTAAAACACAGTCAGCATGTAGCGATACTCAAAAAAGAAAACTTAAATCTTCATCTTTCAAGAAATGAACTAGTTTGGGGATGATGGAGTATCACTGTGAATGTGTGGTACCCCTCTTCTGAAGTATTTTATTTCGCTTGGTGCAAGTGGGATTGAACTGTGCTCCTTTCCCTGGAATCCTTGTTCGCTTTTTCTGCCTGTTCTTGCAGCACAGGGCAAGTGAAAATCTCTCAGGAGTACAGGGCGTGTTAGTTACTGCCTCGCGATACAAGATCAAGGCAGGAATGGTAAAAGTCTTCTACCATTCTGCCCCATTTGAGATGCCTTTAGCCCATTTTGACGTGCAGAAGATGCCATCTGCAGCCACTGATCATTTTGGGGCAACTTGCTTTGTCTCCTGTTGGTTTTTCTCGCTTTCAGTGCGGTGGGATTGCTTCCGAGCTGTTTCAGGCCGTTGGGTGATTTAATTGCTGGGTTACTGGAGCGGTTCCAGGTCGTGCTGTCTGATCCAGGGGCCTGGGGTAGCTGCTGCCTGTTGTCCCCACAGCCTGTGACCTGTCTGATGTGCCCTGGGGAAAGGCCCCTACCCAGAATGTTGTAAATAACTCTGTAGCCTACAGCTCCAGGCACTTCTGGTTCTATGTACAAATCTGTACGTATTTATACACATACGTATAGGGACATACGTGCATGTGTGGTGTCTTTTCATGGGAATTACCTCATGAAAAGAGGTGACGAGCACTTCTGTCACAGGCATTGTTGTGCATAGCAAACGGGGAGGTGAAAGAAGGGCCAAACCATCGTTGCTCTGATCTGTGAGGGATGTTTTGATGTTCCCTCGTCCTTCCTCTTTCTGCTCGTGCGTCCCATGTGCCTTCCTCACCCTTCTGCAATCGGGCTCTGCCAGCCAGCCGCTTCCCCTGTTACTCATGAGCCTGAACTGGGTGACCCCGGAGGTTACTCGAAGGCAAGTGCTCTCAAAATGATTGTAGAACTCCATCGTAGATTGTTGCTTGCAATTGTAGAGGATTGCAATAGAGTCATAGCCGGGTTTGCTTGGAGGCTGTGGAGAAGAAAGCGTGATCAGCTTGTCTCAGTGATGTGTTTTCACATCTGCAGCATGCTTTAGGGATAAATCGTGAACCATTGGGAAAACACAGTGATCATGCAGAGCTGTCGGACAAGAAACTTGCAAATTCCAGTCCCTCTCCAGCTAGACCAGACACTTCTCCAGACTCTGACTAGCTTCCCAGGTTCCCTCATCCCCACCATGAGACATTAAGCAAAGCTAAAACCAATTTTGACTGTGCCCTCAAAGACCTGACTAAATATTCAGTTGTTGTGATACAAAAAAAAAAAAAGTCTGTCCTTAAAGGGCACTTCTCAAGCAAAGTTGTATCATGGTGAGCACAATACAGCAGGATTAGACCGGTGGGTTTAATTCTGGCATGTTTACCATGTTTTTTTCCACCATGGGCAGCACAAGGTGCAAAATCCTTGTAGGCGTGATAGCTATACAGTTTTCTGCTTTTTTATTTTTTAGGGCAAAGCCTAAACAGCCAAACCAATAGAAGTGGGGCAGAGGGAAAAGCCAGATTTCAGCTGTTTTGTGCCTGCCCATCCATGCTGCGCAGCTTTGTCGTTATCTCTAGCAGTGCACAAGTGCCCTGCGTTTGGCATGGGCTTAAGTTCTTCCACTGCCAACACATCTCCCTGCGTGGCGAGAGACCTGTGGATTGAGCGAAAGCAAATAGAAAATCAGCTGTGCCAGAACTAAAGTGCAATCTCAATTTTTAAAGGAAGGTGCTAAAATGAACCAGTGGAACAGTTTCTTGATGCACTATGTAAAATTGATTTGGTATGTTTAAACACTAGAAAATCTTCCCTATGTAATTAGTATGATTAGTATAAAATAGCATCCAGCTGCGGTGACCTGCTGCTGTGCTCACAGGGGGATGCAGCTGGAGTACGCTCGGGGCACGTGGAATCTTTGCAGAATTTACCTTTCAGATTTTTACTGTAAACGTATGAACTTCTGTGAATAACTTCCCTAGAGTCGGGATTTTTCCTGCAGAAACAGCAAAAAGCATATTCTGATGTAACACTTCTAAATGTCAGATCCGCGTCTGAATGAGGCAGTAGGCAGAGCTGTACGCTGTGCCGTATTTTTAGTCTCAAAACTCTTTTTTGGGAGTTATATTTTCCACGTGATGCCCTCGTCAAGCTGAAAACTGCAGAGGAAACTTCATCCTGAACAGTCAGTGACTGGCAAAGTGATGAGCAAATAAACACGGGGGGATTATAGATCAGTTGTAGCTGTGAAAGGTCCTGTTAACTTTGTGTTGTGGTTACATCATTATCCGCCCTCTCTGCCTCCTCCAAATAAAAGGCTGCTCTCCTGTCAAGCTGGGTTCGCCTCTCCATGCCTTTCCCAGCTTATCTGTGGCTGTGGTGCGCAAGAACATGGCGAAGCAAAGCTCAGCATTGCTGAAAGAGGGAGGTTTATCCTGCTGCTCGCCTTCCCCATTCCTCTGTGGCATGTTCCTGCTGCGTCCAGGTGCTGTCGGGTCCCTCTGTGAACCGATGCAACCTGATAAGTCGGCAAAGCCAGGAGAGTTTTCTGTGGAGTTAGCGAAACGTGGATAAACGCTGTACCCCGTGCAGATCAAAGCAGGAAAGGAGGTGATGGGTTTGTTAGGGTATATTGTGTCTCTGAAAATTAACGTGTTTCCTGCTTAGCCCAGGAAACAGGTGCATTGGTGCGGTTGCCCTGATAAATTTTCCCTTTGGAGACAAGCTTGTGCATCTTTCTTTTTTTTTCTCATGTTCCACTTTTTCTATAAAGTGCTTTAATTAAGAGAAATTGTGAAACACAATCTCATTGATTTCAGCACAACTCTAATTTCCCCTTGTCAGGTACGTGATGTTAATTTTTAACTTTCTGTATATCAAGGGATGTGCGTTCGGTGCCAAACTGGCAAGCCTGTATTGTCACAAGATCTTTCATTTGAATCCATCCAGTTTCCTAACCGTTTTTTGCTGGCTCTCCAAAGGAAACAAAGCTTACATAACTCTTCTGTCTGCCTGCGAGCTTTCTCCAAATAATTTTTGAGCCTATGACAGGCAAATCTGACAGAGGGACTTGAAACAGCCCCTATATCGAGGTCTTAAAACTGTGTGGAAACTGGTGACTGATAAGGGAATAGTGCCCCCCTGAGAATAAAAAGCTGTAGTTTGAACTCAACTTGTTGGTTCCACCGGCTTGCCCAAGAAGAGGGGGTGTGCAGTGGGGGAAGGAAGGCATCAGAGTGTGTGGCAAGAGCTGCAGTTATGAGGAGAGGCAGGAGACGGGTTTATGGCTGAAAGAGAAAAATTGGTAGGAAAGCGGGTTTCATGGAGCGGCTTGTTGAATTTAAATGAACAGGAATGTCAGGAACCCAATGGATTGGAACATCTCTTTTGAAATAAATACCTCGCACCAGTTGCTTGTCGATTAGCTTGAAATTTCTTACAGCCAAAGCAAACACACGTTTGGATGGGAAATAATCTTGCCTTTCTCCCTTGAAGGTTTTCAAACCGTACCAGGCATCCCAGCACGACATGTGCCGATTCCACTCTGAGGACTACATAGACTTCCTGCAGAGAGTGAGCCCCAACAACATGCAAGGATTCACCAAGAGCCTCAACGCCTTCAACGTGGGTGATGACTGGTGAGTGCCGTGTGCCTCCTGCGAACCTGCAGGTGCTCCTGCATCACTCCTGTCCAGAGAACGTCCCATGTCTCTCTGAGAATGGCCCATCTCTTACTTGTTTTTAACCGGAATGAGGAGCATGTCCCTGCTGCGGATATCAAACTACTGAAACCTCCTTGATTCCTTTCCCTGCTCTTTCGATCTTGCAATCCTCTTTTTTAGATCTATCTTTAAGCTTTAAGCTTGCTGGGTTAGAGACTGTATCTCTACTTGTACTTGCAGAGCCTCCAGTTCTTCTTGAACATGCTAACTATTTTTTTTTAAATAATTGCATGTCATTTTAGCTACCTTAATATGTACATGTTAAATTCAAGATGGCGTTTGAGAGCCTGATTTTCAGGTAGAACTAAGGAAATATTCATGATTCTGTACAAAACTACGTGAGATCTTGTTGAGAATATTCAATTCCAGTCTTTAACCCTTGTGAGAGATGAAACTTGAAAGAAATATGTGGAAGGGCTCCGTGGGTGACTGAGGAAATAACAATGGGCATTGTCTGGTTGAGGAGTATGAGGGCTGACAGAGAGTAAGATTGTTCTTATGTATTCTGTGGAGGGGAAAGCTGTAAGTACTAGCATGGGAGGAGTTATGATTGCTAGAGAACAGTGTTATCCCAAGAAAATACTGGTATAGCCTGGGTTTTAACATTTAAGCTGAGAATCAGAAGACTGTCCTCTAACCTTGCTGCTCTGATGATCAGAAATGATCTTATCAGAAATGAAAGGGGAAATAAAACCCCACAGTCTCTAAGGCATTGCTTGTCCACGAATGAGATGCGTGACACGATGCCAGTGAGCTGGTGACACGGGCTCCGCATCCTGTGTTCCTGTACTCCCCCGGTGCCTGGGCTGGCTCTGCGTGGTGGGATGGACCAGAGCTTAGTGCTGTCTTAAGAGCAGTGTTCATCTCCGGTCGCAGTTTATCCTGGCACTTGGGAGCAGGGTGTGGGCAGGATCTTCCAGATAGTGCAGGAGCAGACCTGTCCTCCCCTCTCCTGATGGGTTGTCTCGCATCATGTCCTAGCTCTGGGCACAGGGCAGCTGGGGAGCGTTTTCAGGACTAACCTGGAAGATTTGGTAAAAATTATCAAATTCATGGAGTTTCCCATTGTGTTTGCAGTCAGGTTACTTGCCTGCTGGCACACGGTGTGTTGTAAGCAGGGTCAGAGTGATCCCAAATTAACTCTTTCCCAGAGAATGAGGTTTGATCTTGCTCAGGTAATGTCACTGGGCAGTTTTATTCCTGACTTTACTGTGGAGAAATGGGGAGGAATGAGAAGTTGTTCTGTGTTTGAGTCATGTTTTCTTTTTCAGCCCAGTGTTTCCAGGCCTCTTTGAATTTTGCTCCCGCTATACTGGGGCCTCCCTACAGGGAGCAACACAGCTGAACAACAAGGTAATTGAGCCGATGTGCTCATCTTTTGACACGCAGGCATAAGCCAACTGCTTTTCAGTTTAAGGAGAGACCTGAGAAAGGTCTAATGAGTGTAAAGAACAAGTGTGGAAACAAACTGTATGTGCCAGGTGCTCTGCCCGCTGCTGGGAGCAGTGGGAAGGGGGGGCAGAGAGGATCTTTTCCAGTCTAACAGGGAATGTAGAGTGCAGGAGTAATCTGGTCTGGACAAGATGTAACCAAAACTTGGGCTAATGACCGAGATGGAGCTTTGGAAAGGCCTGTGTGGGGAAGGAAAGGCCAGAAGGGTGTTTGTGGGCCACAGGGCTGCGCAGGTTGACATGGGTGCAAGGTGGTTGTTACCACGTCGTCACCTTTAACTAACTTTATCTTTCCTTTCTTAGATCTGTGATATTGCAATAAACTGGGCAGGAGGCCTGCATCATGCCAAAAAGTTTGAGGTAATGAGGCAAATCTGCATATTCCTCTGTCTTTTTGACACCCAGACTCTATGTTGATCCCGTTCTAATGCTATTTGGTTTTCTCTGTCTTGCAGGCTTCTGGGTTCTGTTACGTTAACGACATAGTTATCGGCATCCTGGAGCTGCTCAAGTAAGGATGAGGGGCAAGTGTGGTACTTTCCTGGCTGGCATGTGGTTTCCCTTTGCTGCTCTGCTCTTCTCTCTCCCTGTTCTCCTCATTGTTTGTCTTTCTAGAGTCAAGGAAGGCCAAGAACTTGATTTTTGTCCTGGCCTCCTCTTTAGGCACAAGAAGGGGGATCTCGAATTGGAATATGTGCCTCCAGTTTTGTTGCATGCATCTTAAGGGGTGAAGAAAAGTTCTTCAATTCCATTTCTCATCCATCTGTGAAATGCTCATTTCAGGGTCTCCTGAGTCTCAGGGGTTTTGCCACAGTGAGCCTTTTGTAGGTAAATGCAAATTACAGCTCACTGGAGACAGTTAAATGGCTTGAATCTTTCTTGATTTGCTTGAGTGGCTTAAGAACAGGACTTGAGCAACACATGGGTGATCAAAGGACACTTGCTTTGAGTAGAAAAGTCAGCTTTTTTTTTTTCTTTTTAGAAAATGAAAAATAAATTCAGAATGAGAAGAAGAGTTACAGAAATACCTTCCATTTCTTGGATTAATCTGTAATTTATTTAATTTGTTTTGTACTCTCAAGTGCCCTCCTTTGTCACTGAATCTGAGACAAGATGTTATGGAATTAAAAAAGTCTTGGGGTTGACCAGGCAATAGTTACATGACTGGTGGCAAGCTTACCCACTCTGTCAGATTTACGGGATGTCCTGGGGTTTCTGGTACCTCTGTCCTCTCTGCCAGTCTTTCCTGCGCTGTGTTTGGAACCTCAGGTCTTCCCTGTGTGTCTCTGCACACCCATTTTCTAGTCTCACCCGAGTCCCATATGCCAGAGGCTTCAAACACAGCCCAGTAACCCCTCATGGGAGATTATAATATGTCCCTGTTCTTTTATTCCCACTTTTCAGGAATCATTTCTGCAGCAGGCGACTGCATACTTGAGTTTGCTTCCCACCATGGAGTACTGTGGTGCCTCTACTCTTAGAAGGTCCCTTTCTCCCTTGGGCTGTCTGTATGCATCCCCTTTTTTCTCCTTGCTGTCATTTGTCTACGGGATGAATAATCTGGGCTGTCTTAAATAGTTGATGTCTCTCTTGGGAGACTGAAGCAAGGTTCTGGTCTGCTAATCACCTCAAAGCTGTGGTTCCAAGGCAGATGGCACAAACCACATGCTCCTCCGTTTTGATGTTGTTTTGTGTTGTCAGGTCCCTCCCCAGTTCCCAAGGGCTTTGGCATGATTGCCAGATCCCCCATTCTTTGGGGTGTGACCAGTATTTCCTTGTGAAAAGCTGGAGAAGTTCTCTCCAGCTGAGCAGGCAGCTCTGGGGCTGGCAGGCAGGGATGGCTTAGGGCCACGTCTCCAGAGCTCGACAGCGCGTCAGCTTTGACCATTACCCCAATGTATTTACTTGGGACGATCCGCCCTTCCTCACCCTCTGTCTCTGTGACCCTGCAGGCTGCTTCTCCAGTAAATTTAGTCCAGCCTGGTGTTCTTGGTGCTGGCTGGGACACAGTGCCGCCAGTAGTCTGGCACGTGGAGGAAGTAAGTGTTCCTACCTCCTCCTTGGCTAGCTTACCTTTCATTTCCCGATATGATTAAAAATTGTTGGAGCTCTTAAATATTAACTTTGTTGTTTGTAGAGGAAACAAAACCCCACAACTTTCTAACACCTGATTAAAACAGGTTCTCTTCATCATGTGCTTTCCAAGTCATTTCTGGCCCCATCTGAAAACCTTTTATTCTAATATCTATTTCCAAGTGCATCAGAAGAAAATGTCTTAGTGGTGGGGTGTGTTTTTATACAAATGTCCCATATCAAAACCATTCGATGTGACTTCCTTTGGCAAGTAGATGTTGGTGGTGGTTTTCGGAGCTCTCGGGGATACTGAGGCACATGGGGAATCGTGAGGTTGGCTGCGGTGCAGACTCTGATGCTGTTTTTTCCTCCTGTATTCAATAGATATCACCCACGTGTTCTGTATATTGATATCGATATCCATCATGGAGACGGTGTGCAGGAGGCTTTCTACTTGACGGACCGTGTCATGACAGTGTCATTTCATAAATATGGGAACTATTTCTTTCCTGGTACAGGTATGTATTTTCCCTTACAGTGTGAACATGGCCTCGCTTTAGAATCCTTTGAAAGCTCTGCTGGAGAATAAAAGTGTAAAGTCACAAAATTAAAGCTGCAGCGAGAAATAGTGGAAGAAAGGGCATGGAAAAGCAATTAAAGAGGAACGGAAGTATAGTGATTTCTAAGAGAGAGAGATCCCAGCTAGGTTCAGAGAGCTAAACCCAGAGCAGCTCTGGCCTTTCCACACCCTGAAGTCTCAGAGCTGTTGTGACTCCTGTCTTTCCCTGACCAGGTGACATGTATGAAGTTGGCGCAGAGAGCGGTCGTTACTACTGTCTCAACGTGCCTCTACGAGATGGCATTGACGACCAAAGTAGGTGTTCCCCGCCGTTTCCCCTTCCCCAGGCGTTTGCTGGTCCCTCTACTCCAGAGCTGTGACAAACCTACCGTTCTCTCCACAGGTTATAAACACCTCTTCCAGCCAGTCATTAACCAGGTGGTAGATTACTATCAGCCCACCTGCATAGTATTGCAGGTAAGAGACCAAGCCTCTGTGCCTGCGTCCGTCCCTTTCGGAGGCTGTGGGCTGGAAGGGGCTGTTATCGATGTGTTACCTTCTGTCCCCAGGGATTCGGGGTTGCTGTGTCCTAGCTGAGCTTCCGTTTGTACCCTCTGATGAATGAGGGTGGCCAAGGGGTGGGGATGTTGATGTGTGCCTGGAAAGCAATGCCTCCATAGCCAAAATTCAGTTGTTCTTTTTTTCCTCTCCCCGCAGTGCGGTGCTGATTCTCTGGGTTGTGACCGTTTGGGTTGTTTTAACCTCAGTATAAGAGGACATGGGTGAGTACAGTGGGGCAGGGGCAGAGCAGTTAGTTGAAAGGCCGTCCTTTAGTCCGAAGGGCTCAGAGTCCTCTGCTGTGAGGTTTGAGCTTTGGCCTTCCAGTAGCACTGGCAGCTTTTTGGGTGTGTTTTTTTAACTCTCGTGTGATGGGAGGGTGTCTCAGAATGAGGCTTTGTACAAGGCACTGCAGAGCGGTGGTTCACAGCATAGCACGTGGTTCAGGCTCCCTGGGTGGAAGCCCTGAACTCCAGGTGTATCGCACCAGCTGTGGTGGTGGTTGAGTGCACAGTGGTGTTTCTGACATGTGAGCGTGCGCTGCAGCTAACAGCTCTGGCATTATTTTTTTGTTTGTTTGTCTGGGGTTTCTAGGGAGTGCGTGGAGTACGTAAAGAGCTTCAACATCCCCTTGCTGGTGCTGGGAGGAGGTGGTTACACAGTCCGCAATGTGGCACGATGCTGGTGAGTCTCTTCTCTACTTGTTGAAGGTCACTGGGTAAGCAATTGCTGTGGGCTTTGTCCCCGCATGCACCATGTAGCTTTTTCTGGATTGAGCTCATCTCATTCCATGTTTTCAGGACTTATGAAACGTCATTGCTCGTAGATGAAGCAATCAGCGAAGAGCTCCCATACAGTGGTGAGTTGGAGTTCCTGTTTTTTCCCTCATTAGCTGAGCTAACATATTTGTTATATCAACTGAAGAATTAACGCTTCTGTTCTGCGTTGATCTCAGATAAGACCAGGGCCAAAGTGACAGCACTTTCTGATCATAGAGATGGCTGTAGTCATCTCCTACCACCCACTTGCAGGCTTTGCTGGGCAGACACACCCTTACTGTGTTCATGTGTCGTTTAATCTAGATCTCTTCCTATTCAGTGACCTGAGCGTTACTTTTGTGCGCTCTGTTTTGTATAACCCCTCGTGGTTGCAGAGCTGTAAATCACTGTGCTTTGTAGGGTCTGGTCACCCTGAGCACGGTGGGAGAGTGAGCTCTGCGCTCTGCAGGCAGTGCAGGCTGGCTGCCTTGCCTCCGTGCTGTAACTCTCTTGCTCTTTCCATCACAGAGTACTTTGAATACTTCGCTCCAGACTTCACCCTTCATCCTGACGTCAGTACGAGGATTGAAAATCAAAACTCCAGGCAGGTGAGTGCTTCCAGCCTTATTGCAATATCAGCTATGATGGGAAAACAAGCAGAACCTTTCCTCTGGGACATCAAAGTCTCGTAGGGTTTGAGAACCTTGCTGGGTTGTCTTACTGCTTTCTGTGTGCTTGAGTATCAATGATGGAATTAACTCTTCCACCTCCTCTGCTCTGAGGAGCTTTTTGAGCTTTTTGCACAAATTTGTTTCTCATGGCCACCACATAGATGATGCAGGCAAGTAGCAGTGCTAACAGTTGTGGCTCTGTGCAGACTGCCAGATCTCTCTATTGTTTCTGTGTAGTACTTGGATCAGATCAGGCAGACGATATTTGAGAACCTGAAAATGCTGAACCATGCTCCCAGCGTGCAGATCCATGACGTCCCTTCCGACTTGCTCAGCTATGATCGCACAGATGAGCCTGATCCAGAGGAAAGAGGATCTGAGGAAAACTACAGCAGGTACCAGGTCTTGTTCTGGAGAAACGGACGTCCCTTACTGTCCCTGCTGGGCTGGGCGGATGATATCCAGGAGCCCATCTGTTTCCTAGAGCGGATACTAAGTCACTTCTGAGTCTCTGGTTTCACCCAGGGAGCCCCTCCCTAGAAATGTGTGGTCTCCTCACGTCACGTTTCATGGGGTGTCTGGGTGCAGGGCATCTTCAGCAGTGTGACCTAGGTATCCTTCTCTGGCCCCAGGGGTGTCAAGCTCTCCTCGCTGACAATGTTTGTCTTTTCCCTGCAGGCCTGAAGCTGCCAACGAGTTTTATGATGGTGACCATGATAACGACAAAGAGAGTGATGTTGAGATCTGAGAGCTTTGGTGTGGGGCTCAGGACTGTGGGGGGTCCCACATTGGACATGGGTGCTTGGAGCAGATAACTGGGCCACGTAGGAGCCGGTTAGCCCTCCCTTCCTCTTTGATCACATGCAGTGGCAGCAGAAACACCACCACTACGGGCTTCTGCCAACTGGAGAGGCCGTGAGCAGTGAAATGTATTCCTTACTTTCCACCACGTGTCACAGTTCCAGCTGTCACTGCTCTGGGAAATGGAAATTTAAGTTAACATTCGAACCTGTGCTGCGTACTGGCCGGTGGCCGTGCGACTGCCTTCGGAGCCTGACCCGGTCACCTCCCGTAACTCCTGTGTGGGCCTCTGCCAGCGAGGTGGGAGCTGGAGCGGTTGTGCCTATGATCTCTGCCTCTCTTCAGCAGCAAAATCCTGCTCTCCCCAGCCCTGCACTCAGGTACCCAGTCGACTGTCCTCTGAAGCCTGCACAGAGAGTTGCTTCCTGATGTCCCTTCTAACCATCTGATGCTCCACAGCTCAAGGAAAACTAGTCGAGAAGACAAAGCCAGGTGTGGGATAGGGATCAGAAGTGTTCCTGGAGCAGGGAGCAGCTTGATGGAGTGGGATGGAAGAATGTATGCAGAGCATAGTCGTGTTCGTTCACCCCCATACTCCGTTTTGTGTTCCCAAATGAGTACTGCAACACTTTGCCAAGTTGGACCTAATTTCCCTGTTTTCTTTATTCTCCGAGAGGCTAAAATCACTGTGGAACAGAGGTTTGGCTGCCAAGGTCAGTACATAGTGTCTCTTGCACTTCTAATGTAGCTTCCAGCTGTGTTTTCCAAGTTCACGCATGGCCCTTCTGTGTGTGAGCAAGAGATCTGGGCTGCTGGCACGGGGTGGAAACCGTTCCCTCTTGACTGTACCCAGGAGATGTTGCTCTGCTCGTGGGTGAGGGAAGCTGCTTCCTCCAAGTCCTGTCACCTTGCCCTCACACAGCAGAGATTTCTTTTGGCCGTCCCTCAAATCCCAAACTTTGCTGCTCCTTCTCCCGAGTCATCACCTGGTACCTGTCGTGGTTTGGAGTGTACCGTCCGGGGCAGCGGAGGGGGTTAGCCTCTGTACTGTTCTGTTTGTTTACTGACGTCTTTAAACATTAAATGAAGAGGCAGTATTTTTCTTACCTGACTTGTTGTTTGTCTGTTTAATGCTCTCACTTTTTTTGATTCCCGCCCTCCCAAGGATTGGGAATGCATATAGCCCCCTGGCAGGGCAGCCTGACTGGAGGGAGGGCATTCAGCTCATCAGAGCGCGTGCTGGTCAGCATTGGCGTGCGATGAGAGCGCCCTGAATTCCCTTAAAGAGGACCAGCAGGCTTGTGGATGCTCCTGCTCGTGCCTCTGAGTCAGAGGCCTCGGTTTTTTTGCAGAAAGCTACAGAGTGGATTCCAGAAACCTTTCCTGTACTCGCCTTAAATAATGTGGTTTCTTTGAGTTGCAGTTTCCCCAAGAGTCTGCTCTCTGCAGTCTCACAGCCCTTCTTGGTGACTGGTGTAACTACAGCCTGAAGCAGGCAGGATGTCGGTGTTCACTCACACTAAGAGCCCAGAGAAATAAGTTACGGTAGAATTAAACTAGGCGTGGAGAAGGATGACCAAAGGTATAGCACAGCTCCTGTATCGCATAGGATCCATCAGCTGCGGGGAGAGAACTGAGCTGGGAAAGGAGCTGTAAGGTCTATAAAACCGTGAGTATTGGAGAGGGTTTCTCTGAATATTAGATGTTAGAGGAGGGTCAAAGGAAAGGGGGGGCCAGCTCAAAAGAAGAGGTGGCTTTGCACACGTCTGGCTGAGCCGTGCAAGCGTTTGTCGCTGCGCACTGCGAATGTGGCTTCAGAAAGGGACTGGGGGGAAAAAAATTGTTAATACAAAGACACTTCTGGGTGTAAATTGTTGGTGACTGGGTGGGTACTCTGGAGGAGTATTGCTGTGTGCTTACCCCGTGCTCGGACCCTTCCTGCAATTGTTATTTGGCCACGGGAGAGCAGGTGCTGGGCTAGATGGACCTTGTTCTGACCCCTCTTTGGTCAGCTGTGTTTGTCACTAGTATCCTGCAGCCAGGATAATGCTCTTTGCAAATCAGGGGATGCAAAATGCTGCTCTGTTGACTACCTGGGCTTGTGAAAAACAAACACTTGTCTGAACAGAAAATAAACTTGTTTTATTCCGTCTCACCTGGTGTCAGAGAGCTGGCTTCTTTCCTCTGCTGCTGTCATCACCCCTGTAGCAAAACTGATTTTCAGGAGCACTCCTGGGTCCCACCTTGGGTAGCAGGCAGTGCTTGCCTTTTGGGGGGAAAGAAGGGAATTCATCCCCGTGTAAGTCTCCTGGGAAGATGGGAACGACCTT